ATGACTTCAAAGCCCATTAAAATCAGTTAATTTAATGGATTATGCTAATTGTCCCAGAACCCGCATACGTTAATAAGGGGGGGAGGGGGGGCGGTGGCCATTAATATGCTAATTGTCCCAGAATCCGCGTTTCCCTACTACTAATGACGTAATTCCATAAACGTAAAAGTCCAGTAAGATCTCAAAATCTAATAAGACCGAATTATGTAAGCACAAACAAAGAAGTGGCGATCGCATCATCCACTTGCGATTGCGTCACCTAATGCACTAACAGTAAATTTTAAAACGCAAACCGAGGTTTCATTCTATCCAATTCTGTAACATACAATTAGTCTTTTTCCAACGTTCTAACAAAGAATAACCAACGAATATAAAAAACCTTCTGATTTTTTATTCGGGCGACTCATATAAATATATAAACAAGTCGGCTGAGGTTTGTACGACCAGATTCTCATGTGCTCAAAACGATGTAGCGGGCCCGAGTGAGGATAAATTGAATAAATGGTAAAGAATATATAATCGAACCTCTCGATCGTGTGTTTCCTTCTCGTATTCAGGTACTAAGTCTAACCTAACCTTACCTCATTCACACTGCTGCTTTGGGTCTGAATGTGGACACCCTTCCCGCAATCCTAGTTTTCCGGCCTCTTCCGTAGTTTTGGGGTTTGCGCGTGGACACCCTTCCCGCCTTATCCGAAATTCTAGCTCCTTCTCGGCTTGACCTCGCCCATAGGTCCAGTCCGGTGGATTTTTCGCATCCGACGCGAAACACAAAACTCTTACGCCCGCAAAGTATCCTCCCGGCTTGGCCGAAGGTCCAGCCCGGTGGATTTTTCGCCTCTGACGCAAGGTACAAGACTCTAGCCAGCAGCATAGTAATTGGACTCTGCGTAACCAACGTCATCTGCGGTTTCCTCGACGCAATAAAGGACCTCTGGTGAAGACTCCCCCCGAAGTTATCCATTCTCCTGTGAAGTGGAACCCTCTAGTTTCGGTGATTTACAAATTTTCTTGTAAAGGACTCTTGGATCCGACTGAGATCTGTACCCCGGCCGAGAAAGCATCTTTACGCGTTTGCGGTTTTGCTTCAAATTTGTGCGTTTACAAAATAAAGCTTTGTTTTTTCTAAATGTTTTTAATTGTATACCATATTTAAATGTCCTCCTCAGCAAAGGCTACAAAGTTACGTGCTTATCGTGAGCTGTACGATTATTTAAAGCTATTTACGGACAAGCTAGCTGTGAACAATACTTGGCGTGTATCTGCGGAGAAACCCACCATAAGTGTAAGTGTCTTATTGATACAATCCCTGCAATCATTTTTTATCGGGGAAGGCGCTATTAAGTGACTTCTAGAAGATGATAGTGATCGTCCGCGATATCGCGTTCGGATCACGGAAATGACTCCCGTCGGGAAGAAATGTGCCACTTCGGCAACACTTCTCGAAGTCACTTCAGCGTTACTTCTGGAAATGTCGCCGAAGTCACTCCTGGAAGTGTCACTGAAGGGACTTCAAGAAGTGTCGCCGAAGTTACCTTTGGAAGTATCGCCGAAGTGGCACATTTTTTCCCGACGGGAGTCACTTCCTCGACCAGAATGCGTTATCGCCGAAGTAACTTCTGGAAAGGTCGCCGAAGTGACTCCGAGAAGTACCGCCAAAGCATGCTTGTAGAAGAGTCATCCCCAATTAGAAAATCTTGAATAAAAACATATTGTTATACCCGTTACTCGTAGAGTAAAAGGGTATACTAGATTCGTCGGAAAGTATGTAACATGCAGAAGGAAGCGTTTCCGACCCCATGAAGTATATATATTCTTGATCAGGATCACTAGCCGAGTCAATCTAGCCCTGTCAGTCTGTCCGTATGAACGCAAAGATCTCGGAAACTATAAGAGCAAGGCTAGGATTTTGCATGCAGATTCCTGAGCTTCTTGCGCAGCGCAAAATAAGATATAACGCCCACAAGCCGCCCAAGTCGGTGGCGCCCACAATTTTCATGCTAGAAAAAAATACCTATCGATTGATTAAAAAAAAAGTTTGCCACGCCCAAAAACCGCCTAAGCCTAAGTATTAGTCTCGTCAATACCTATCGAATACCAAAAAAAGTTTGCCACGCCCACTCTAACGCCCATAACGCTCAAGTCTGTCTACCGCCCATATAACCACATATTGAGATCGCGGGTGGGTGGCGCATTTTAATCTCGCTTTACTGCTTGCATGCCTCCATTTCCCTTTGGTACCTTTAGCTGAGTAACGGGTATCTAATAGTCGAGGTACTCGACTATAGCTCTCTTCCTTGGTTTTAATTACACCTAACGGGTGTCTTAGAGTAAACGGTATATTGTATTCAGGAAAAAGTATTTAACAGGCAGAAGAAAGCGTCTTCCGTAAAGTATATACCTAGTCAGCAGCTCTAGTGAATTCTATCTAGCCATGTCCGTTTGTCTGAAACTACAAATGGACGTTAAGCAAAGCAATTCAACAACAGTGCTGTGCCATCAAAACACTGCCGTAAACACACTTTTGGCATCAATAGAATGCGGGCCAACATTTGTCATCATGTATTAGTTTAAAACTGTTTCGCAATGATATAGATTATTTTCAATAATAACGGCGCATAAATAGTGTACACGCTGAAACTTGGAATATAGTCATCCCACGGAATACTTCAAGGCTGTAACGAATATATATTTTAGAACCTTGAAGGGTTATAACCATATTTTGATGAAATCGTTGCAATGGGAAAATCTGACGAGGAACTGTCGGTCAGACCTATCAATAAAGCCGGACCTCCCCTACGCAAGGACAAGCCCCAGCTTGGTGTGCCCGCCGTTGAGTTAGTTGTCTTTAAACTCTAATAGTTGAAAAGCACATTGCTTTCTATTTGCGAACATTATCCAGAGCAAAGCGGCATTATGCACAAGTCAATGTGTTAATTTCATAACTTCCTTTATGGCCGGCCATTTCCCTTGATAACAGATCATCGCATTTTGGGATATCTACCGCATGAAGGTAGTGCCAAATATGGTCTAAAATCAGATGCTGAGCTAAGCAATCATTTTGAGTGCATATGATTTCATAATTAATTTGTTTTTAAAACTCACTTTGTAAAAAAAGGCATTTATTCTTACAGAAAGGAGTTTGGAAAACAAAACTACTTATATCAAATTTTGTGACGAAATAAATTAAAGCATTTGACTAAATAAATTCACCTTTCTTAAATTTCCTGAAATTGCAGCGTAAAAGCGCAAAATCAAGAAAGAACCCGTTTAATTCCCGTGAGCGACAAGTCGTAAGTAAGCTTTGTGATATTAATTTCATTTAGATATACCTCGTTTGTTTCATACTATACTCGAACTGGGCTCAAGTATCGGTTATCAAGGCATTTAAATTAAACATCCGCGGGAAACGTTGTGCGATAGACCAACGGGTAAGGTGTCTGTCTCTGGTGCGAAAAGTCCCCGGTTCAAGTGCGCGCCGATGCTGTACGATTTTAAAGAATAATATCTATAATTTCTCTATCAATTGTAATAAAAAAGTTATACTTAAACGTTTCCAAATTTCAAATAAAAAAGGACTTATTGTCATGAGCGGGACTCGAACCACTAACCCTTAGGCCCGTGCATCAAAAACAATGCGCTAGCACTCTGAGCCACGCCTACATTTATTTATCCAGCGGCAAAATGCTTTTTTGTGACCTAAAAGCTTTTTTGTAGAAAATTTAGCCATGTCCGTCTGTCTGTCTGTCCGTATGAACGCTGAGATCCCGGAAACTATAAAAGCTAGAAAGTTGGGAGTAAGCATGCAAATTCTATAGATTCTTACGGAGCACAAGCTTATTTCTGTGCGTGCCACGACCACAAACACCCATAACCTAAAAACTTGTAAAAGTGTTAATTGAAACTGATTATATTTATCAACACCTATGAAAATGCTGAGGATGTTGTCAATCATATTGGTTTTTTTACAGTAATAACTAACAGGCTCTGACTTGGCCAATAGTAACGCTACCGTCCGCTAGGTGCCGTGTCGCTGGCACGTGTGGTGTGTGCCGCACTAATAGAAATGACCTGGAATTTTATTTTATTTGAAATTTGAGCAGAGTAACGGGCATCTGATAGTCAAAGCACTCGACTGTAGCGTTTTCTCTTGTGTTAAATTGGTTAACAGACGGTTATATGATATTCTAAGGTTTTGACTGCCGTCTTTTCCATGGCCTAATTATTTATAATAGTCATCCACACACTATTTTGGCGATTCATCTCAATGTAACGCTGTATCAATGTAACAAAGAACCCTTGCATATGCACTTATGTGATTATTATCACGTATAATCTAAAAATAAGAAAATGTAAGTATTATACAAAAAATGTTTTTATAATAGTTTTTGCAAGTACTATTAATATATTTATATATGTATTTACCCGTTACTCGTAGAGTAAAAGGGTATATTATATTCGGGGAAAAGTACGTAACATGTAGAAAGAAGCTTTTCGACCCTATAAAGAATATATATTGTTGATCAGGATCTTTAGCCGAGTCCGTGTATTTGTAAACGATTCTGAATGATTGCAAGTTTGTTATCCGAATGTGTCACCCCCAATTTTACGTCCACAACCCTAAAGACCATTCATTAAAAAGTTATGAGCAATTATAGTTGGGGCCACTAGGTGGAAAAATGGTTTAAATCGGACCATTAGTTAATAATTTAAATTGGGTAGCGGAGTAAATGAGTATATGATAGTCGAGGCACTTGACTATAACGTTTGATCAAATTTGGAAATACAGAAATATCTGTCTTTTTTTAACAAAAATGATGATTATAAAAAAACTTTATGACAAAGATGTCAATTTGGCTTCTTCAGTTCCATGCCTTTATTCCATGCCGAATTTAAATATCGAACTGCAAACTTCTTCTCATAGTTATAGTTACCTTATTCAAGGGAACAGACATAGACTCTTAATGCGTTTCCTATACACTACACGTATTTATATATAATGTTTAGATACATGCAGTATAAATAATGTTGCCAAAGAGTATGACTTTTGGCAAAAGATACAGAAAATTTAGTTAGTCTGAAGTAATCTATTCAGAAGGTAAGGAGCTAATAATTACTAGTTAACAACTTTAAATTTAAAAAATTATTAATAGAAACAAGAGATACGAAAATGTTTAAGAAAATATATGCTTGGGTGCCACAGAAATCACTTCAGCGCTAAGTCGTTTATAATGTATATTGATGCACATAAAAATCTGAATAGGCGCTCTGCGATTCCTGTGGTACTACGGTAAATAAAAAAATTCGGTGCATATGTATGTATACAACAATTATAAATATATATATATATATATATGATATTTCTAGTTGCAACATTTTTATGAGGATTAGCTCCGAGCAAATAACGTCATAATGGCCTACTCCTGGGATAATCGTGTCGATTTTGTTGTTCGATATATGTATGGTATGTAGAAAAGAATACTGTTTTAGTTTTTATAAATATATAATAAATGTAATGTCCAGCAAAGCCAACTAGATATTATTTTGTAAGGAAAACAAAGAACATAAATGCTCACTCGAAGCACCATTTACTCAGATTTAGAACAACTTTTTTTAAACAGAACTACCGAAAATGAGTACCCTTTATTATACCCGTTACTCGTAAAGTAAAATGGTATACTATATTCGTCGGAAAGTATTATCAGGCAGAAGGAAGCGTTTCCGACCCCATAAAGTACATATATTCTTGATCAGGATCAGTAGCCGAGTCGATCTAGCCATGTCCGTCTGATCGTCTGTCAGATTCCTGAGCTTCTTACGCAGCGCAAGTTTGTTTCAGCAATGTGCCACGCCCACTCTAACGCCCACAAGCCGCCCAAAACTGTGCCTCCTACAGTTTTGATGCTAAAATAAAAATTTTAACTGAAATGTACTGTTCTCATCAATACCCATCGATTAACCCAAAAAAAAGTTTGCTTAAATCTGTCTACCGCCGGTAGGTGGCGCATTTCAATCTGGCTTTGATGCTTGCATATTTCCATTTCCCTTTGGTCCCTTTAGCTGAGTAACGGGTATCTGATAGTCGAGGTACTCGACTATAGCGCTCTTCCTTTTTTTGTCATACGGTTGTCGGCGAGGCGAAATGGAAAAAGAGCTTGATCTATTTTTAGATTTCGTTTATTGAGTACACAATGCATAAATATAAGTGGGCCTTGTCAGCAAACATTTTTTGACAAAATTAAGTTTTTGTGATTTTGATAGATCGGAGAGCAAGAACTTTAAAACTCGAAAAGGCTTTTCTGCAAAATGCTTTCAACTCGGTCAATGGTCGTACTGGTTGTAACGTACTGGTGTAAATGCGGTATCGATCCCCGTAAAGGCAGAACTTTTCTGTAATATTGTATTTTTTCCTTTTATTATAAATAGAATAATATTTTTATACCCGTTACTCGTAGCGTAACAACTAGATAGGAAAGTATGTAACAGGCAAAAGGAAGCGTTTCCTTATATTCATGATCAGGATCACTAGCTCAGTCGATCTAGCCATGTCCGTCTGTCCGTCTGCCCGTCTGTCCGCATGAACGCTGAGATCTCGGCAACTATAAGAGCTACAATAATGGATTAGGTATTTCAGCTGCGTGCCACGCCCACTCTAACGCCCACAACGGTGGCTCCTACAGTTTTGATGCTTGAAATTTTAACTGAAATGTATTGCTCCTTAAAAAGTTTGCCACGCCCACTTTAACGCTCACAAGCCGCCCACAAACTGCAAAAAATCGTAAAACTATCAAAGATGGAGAAATAGGATCGCAGACTTAGATTCCGTAGCCTTGTACGCAGAGCAATTTTTTTAAGCGAATATGCTACGCCCACTCTAACGCCCACAAACCGCCCAAGCCTGTGGCGCCCACAATTTTCATGCTAGATACAAATTTTTAACTGAAATGTATTGGTCTCGTCAATAACTATCGATTGATCCAAAAAAAGTTTGCCACACCCACTCTAACGCGCATAACGCTTAAATCTGTCTACCGCCCACATATATTGAGATCGCGGGTAGGTGGCGCATTTCAATCTCGGTTTGCTGCTTGCATATCTCTATTTCCCGTTGGTCCCATTAGCTGAGTAACGGGTATCTGATAGTCGAGGTACTCGACTATAGCGTTCTTCCTTGTTGTATTTACTATTTAAGTTAAACGCCCAAAAAATATTCATGAAAAAAAAAGGTTTCTCTATTATAAGAATAAAGATTGAGAAATGGAAAATCCAATGACTTAACAAAACGGGCTATGGGCTAAGTCATCAAAGCACCTTTAAGTCGCACTAATAACCTTTTTAAAATATGTATATTTTTTTTATTTTTTCATTATATTTTAAATTTTTTGATGGCAACGACTTTCATCAAAACATTAAAATTAAAACTTTAGTCAATTGAAAACATAGAAAGAAAATCAAAAATCTAAAATCTTTATTAAAAATCAAAAAAAAACTACTTAAAAACGAGAAAATAAACACAATAAACTAACGGCTTTAGTAGTAGATATTTGCTAGTAGTACTAGTATTCTTTATTTGTATTTAAAAAACATTGAAAAAACGGCATTTCAAGTGTACAATTAGAAGGACTCACTAAATTTGTATATAAACAAGAATTGATTTAAAAAGGAAATAAAATACAAAAATAGTTGTAGTTGTAGAGAGTTGACCAACATTGCCCATCCAGCGAATTGAATACGTCCCGTGGTTGCTGCTGTGCCAAAATGCAGCAAGCGGATCTCTCGTAGAATGGGGCAGCGTCCTATAAAGTTCACGACGTTTCCCTGCTCCCTGCACACAGTGTCGCAGTGTCTCGTCTAGCGTCAGTAAAATAGTTTTCAACTCCCAGATCATATTTAAGGGACATATGAGTCATCCGAGTGTGTGCTTCTCCTTGATTCCGTTTTGAACTGAGGCCTATAGGTTTCGTCCATACGTACTAAAATACTTTTAGGCCTTTGCGACCATTGTGGAGGATCGCCTCACTGTAGCCTTTCTCCGTAGGTCGCGGCAAGCGTCTCCCATTCTAAGACCCATTGCTTACGTTCCTGCACCGAATTCGTGACAGCCTATATTCGGGCATGGTTACCACTTTCTGGAAATACCTGAAATACATTTCAGCTGTACAGATATGTAGCGGCGACAGTCCTGCTTCAAGAAATAGCATCCTGTTCGGAGTAAATCTGGGTAGATGAAATAAACAGCTTGTACTTTGTACTCATTGGAACATTCTTTTTTCCCAGCAGCGATTTCCATGTGCAGTTTATGGCTAGTTTTGCATCTCGAAAGTTTCTTCTGTAAATGGTTGTTGAAACGACCGTTGTGGTAAATCCAGACTCCCAGATATTTATACGACTTGACAATTTCTAGCTGAATAGACCGTAAACTCCACTTTTCGTTTTGTGCAAGCCTTTTCCAATGCCTCTTGATAATCAGAACTTTTGACTTCTCGGTGTTTACTAATAATCCCCATAACAAACAGTATGTGTGCAAAGCATTAATTATTGTTTGCAGTTCAACGGGGGATTCGGCGAGGATCACAATGTCATCTGCATACAGCAGAGCCTTGATCGCGCATCCGCATATTTGAATACCGCAAGGCAAGCTATCCGTTATGTCGTTTAAAAAAAGGGAAAACAGGAGGGGGCTGAGTTGACATCCTTGCTTTACTCCAGCTTCCGTGGTAAGCCACTCGGATAGTTGTTTTCCATCCATACTGCCGCCAGGTTAACCATGTACAAGCTTTATAGGACGTTTAAAAATGTTGTTGATATCCCGATATTGCTGAGCTTGTAGGTTAGGGTTCTTCTGCCTATAGAGTCAAAGGCAGCTCTGAAATCTACAAAGAACGCGTATAACTATTTCCCGCTGTCGATATATTACCTTGCTATACTTGTAAGACTGAAAAATATGTCAACTGTCGAAAATCTTTTTCTAAAACCGGCTTGGAATTCAGTAAGAATATTGTAGTTTTTTACCCAGTTTTTAAGCCGCTCGAGTAGCAACGCAGAGAAGACTTTAGCTAACGCATTTTGAAAAGAGATTCCTCTGTAGTTAGATGTCACATTCGGGTCGTTTTACTTAAAGATGGGAAAAATTATATCTTTTTGAAAGCTCTTTGGGACTGTTTCCGATCCCAAGAACTTGTTTAATGCAAGGCTGGCTTTGAATTGTGGAGTAGCGTACTTTATAAAATCCGATGGTATTCTGTCAGGCCTGGGTGCTTTTCTTTCTTTTAACATTGCAAGTACATTTTCCACTTCTAGTCCTGTCACACATCAATCTAAAGAATGATTTTTTACCCACGGCATTGCAAAGTGCAGCGATAGCGTCCAATCTGGAGGTGCTAGAAGATCACGGAAATGTTTTCCTAGATCATCTGCATTAACTTCCATTGATTTTACAAATGAGTTTCCATTGAGTTTCCTAATAGTACTCCAATATGCCCTGATATCGGTTATGGAATCCAATGATCTCGAAAGGTAATGTAAAATGCGTCCGAGCGTTCAAGCAAGCTAACTTGAATGAGGCGTTTGCTTCTAATACGTTACCACTGCACTTGCTGAGTTTGTTGATTTGGCCTGCCTTAGCAAGTTGAAAGAAAGAATTCTAGCTGCCTTACACTGCTCCGCGTACCACTCTTGCTTCAATTTCGTCAGGGGCTGTCAAATCTGCCACACAATTTGTTGACAGGTTTCGGTCCAACTTTGTCCTATAGTTTTAACTATCTCGATTTCACCAAATCAAACTTGGTAGAAGTCCAAGCGGCGCTGTGATTGCGTTCAATGGTGTGAGGAGAATGACTGTAACTTCCAGCGGGAGATGGTCAGAGAATATTTGACTGCTCATTTGGCAATCTTTGATAGTTTCTATCCATGTACCGCATGTCATACATAGGTCGATGGTGGACCGAGCTTCACCTCTCATAAAAGTGTAGTCACACAAAGGATCGCTTGACGACCTTCCATTGACCACCGTGAAGCCAAACAGCTCGAGCAAGTCCATTAGGTGCCGGTCATTGGCGTCTGTCACTTTGTCTTTGGCATTACGGGCTTCATTGAGATTGGTCGAATCCATGAAGTTGAGCTTCTCCCATCCTTGCGTTACAGTCTCCTTTGATCAGTGTCCTCTCATTTAGTCGAGCATGGTTTAAAACCTCGTATAACTTCCCAGAATCTCTTTCCCAACGATTGCAATTAATATACACTGGCAGCAGGTTCAGGCTTTCATTTTCTAATCCTCAGTGGGATTATACTGGTCTCATCTACATTTATGAAACTGATTATATTCCGGTCGTGAAGTTCTTTTTTTATTCCAAATATCATTCCACCACTTGCTCGTCCTCTGGCGCCCATCTAAGCACAAAGTCTTTAAATTTGACTTCGACAGCATCCAATTTGGCTTCAAGGAATGTTTCAGATAGAATGAAA